TACTAAATATTTAGCAACTGGTTTTGGACACAGTACGGCTAGCTCAGCGGGTTAAGTGTCTGCTTGCGGAGCCCAAGGTTGGGAGTTTGATTCTCCACTGAACATCCCAGAAGATCCAGTCTGTGTGGCCTTGGACAAACTGCTTAGTCCCAGGGCGCCCCAGAAGAAAGGAATGGTAAACCACTTGTGAGTACTCTCTATCTGGAAAATCCTGAAAAGGATTGCCATTCCTCAACGTTGACTTGATAGCACAGAATGCATGGCATGGCTAGGCACTGAACTATGTGGACCACAAAAAGCCCTTCTCACCACAAATATGCCTGGTGATCCTGAGTCCCACATTTTCATATGCATGTCATTCCCATGGGCAGGAAACCTTAATAAAAAACAATCAAGAAGGTGGGATGTCCAATCTAAATGTACACACTTACATGACAACTGCAGGGTATTTACATTCCTACCCAGCGCTTTTGTGCAGGAATGATAACTAAATAGCCAAATTGTGGTATCACAAATACCAGGCCAGGAGAACAAAATCTAAATTGTGCATGTAAGTAATAATAATCACGTGCTAGCAAGTCAATTCTGACTTATGAAGACCCTTCTCAGCTGCTGCTTCACCTTAGTAAAGATATGCTTATAACAATTCTGATAGAAAGGAAGAACATTTCCTGAGATAATTTTATTTAGTACGCTTAATTAAAAAAATCTTCCTATTAATGTGATAAAGATCAAATATTCATTAAACTTGGAAAATGGAAGTAAAAGCCAAAGGGAATCCAAAATATTGGGTTTGTGCACACACATGTGTGTTTGAAACTCAGTAATTAAACAATTTGAGAAAGGGACAATGTACTGATGTTTACATGGCAGGTCTGTGACACACTTGCAAGGCCATGAGTGAATTAAACTGAATAGTCAGGGGTTTTTTTAATCTCAAGTTTCGGAATGGAGTGGCACAACAGCAAAACCTTGATTAACTGCCATCAGTATAACTTTATTTCATAAAGTGTAAGAGGTCAGGACCCTGCTCTTAGGAACTTGCAGTGCTCTCTTTCCACACAACAGAGAAACAGAAATGGCAATGGTTGGTTGAATTCTCTCTTGATCTTAGTTCTGACAGACCCATGAGCCCAAAGAACCATAACAAAAAAAAGTTGGCCAAGAGAAAAATTATAGCAGCTGGAACTGTCTTTCTGGGCAGCACAATTTCCTGCTGTGATCCCAAGAGACAGAATAGGGGAAAATTCAACTCTTGGCTCGCTCACCCACATTCTTCTTCAAGGCGCTACACCTATCATTCTTTCATACTCACTTCTCTCCACAAAAGATAAGAAAAGACTAAAGACACCGGCAGCTGTTCCTTGCACCCACCTGCATTCATAGATGGCACTGGTGGCAGCCTTACGCCCCACCCCACATTAATGATCACACCTTTGTATTAGGGCAGAAAAGCAGGGAGATGTGGAAAAGGTCATTATACAGAGAACAAGAGTACAACCTCTTCAGGAGTTGCTGTTCTCTCACAGTCATCTTGTCTTCTCCAGCAACAGCCTAAGAGGACCTCTCACCATAAGTGTTTTTTTTCAGCAGACAATCACTGCACCACCAAAGCAACAGCTATTTTATTTTTTCTGTGCAAAGAAGACTCATGGGTCAAGTTAACCAGATTATTCCTTAGACTATAAGAATAGCTGTCATGGATTGGCCCAAGATTCCCTTTCAGGGCAGGTATTATGGGTAAGCATCACTGGGCATGTGCTGAGGCCATGCCCCTTAGGAGGACACACTGCTAATGCCAAGACACTTCTTGCCCTGCTGCTTCTCCTTCTCTTCTTCAAATGCCCTCTAACTATGCAAATGACAATAGTGACAAAATAGTTGATTTGCTGTGTATCACATTTTCTTCCCAAAACAGGCCTACTCACAACAAAATTAAAAGACATAAGAAGATAAAACATTATACTATTAAAACACAAGTGAATTAATTATAGAATTAAAAGACACTTAAATAGGCTATGTTAGAATACAACTAAGTTAGAATAACTTTAAAGGCCCATAAATATAGCATCTTGTTTCCAGTACTGGCTGGTCAGCTTGATACCTCCAGGAAGACCCCTAGTAGAGCATGAAAGTGCTTTGTCAAAGGATTTTTAAGAATGATACATTATCTTCCACAGGAATAGGAAGATGATAGAGATGTTTTGCAGTATATCAACAATAATTTATACCTTCTACTTGTTCAACAATAGCAGCACAGTGACTACCCTCCGCCCCCAAATATCCTGTTGAAAGAAAGCTTGGGATAACTAAGAAAAGATCTACAAATTGAGGCCTTTAGTTTCATTTCACTTCTGGTACCTTTATCAATTTCCTGGGCTGAGAAGTATTTAATGCTATGGTTTCTGGATAAAGCAAAATTTGGGGGATCTCAGTAGAAAATTTCAGTAGAGAATAAAGTATATTCTACAGATCTAAAGGCTGTTTAGTCCTTATCTTCCATGTAGATATTTCCAAACTCACTGTATTTATCATGCCACTTCCCTTCTCAACTACAGAATAAAGTCTTCACAATTACTCAAATTTCAGGACTTTTTCACCCAGGAATATTAACCTAAACCAAACATATAAGTCTGCTTATTTTAACAACAAGAATATGCAATAGTGATGTGGGTAGAATTACCCAATAACCTTACAGACTAGTTTCTGTTGGGAACACTCCTGTTTTTTGCCCCCAGCGAAATGGCCCAAGGTTGATAAGAAGAGAAGGCAAGGCAGATAAAAACTAATCACTACGTTAGCAAAATCTAAAGATAACAGAAGGATGCTTAATCTAGGAAGAGAGGGAAATGTAGAAGATATGCCACAGACATAAGACCTCATATCCCTCCCTTCTATTACTCTTTACTAGCGATGGGTAGGAACCACTGGTTTGGTGAAGGTTGTTTCCTGGCCGAACAGGTGATAAGCAGTTCAGTGCCCCACCCTTTCCAATGGGCGCCCACTTGGTGGCAGCACCCTGCCCCGCCTTCTCCAGGAGTTCATGCCCATCTCTACTCTTTACCCAAATTATCATACTCTGGCCCAGAACTAATATGAAAGAGAATCCCCATTTCACTAACAGTGATGTGAAAATCCACTCATTCAGATACAGTGGATCCTCGACTTACAGACGGCTCCACGTACAGACTTTTCGAGTTACAGACTACTCTGGCCACAAAATTTAGGTTCGACTTGCAGCCGGAGAATCGACCTACAGACCAGAAAAAAACCAAAATGGAACAAAAACGGCCAGTTACGGATTAATTGGTTTTCAATGCATTGTAGGTCAATGGAGACTCGACCTACAGACTTTTTGACCTGCAGCCACCGTTCCAATACGGATTAATTCCGTAAGTAGAGGGTCCACTGTACTCTGATGGCAACATGGAAAAGAGAGAGAGACTCATGCTATTTTGAACTATTAACACAGCAGTGGGGGAAATTCAGTCCATACCCATACATTCAGGTTTTCTGATCCAAGCTGTGTTTTCTATCCTGCATTAATTTAAACTGGCATGATGATTCTGTTGTTCTCTTTCTATATAGCTTGAGGTAAATTAGAGACTCCACTTAAATCCATCAGCACCCACTGAAAGGCTAGTGGAGAGCAAAAAGAAAAAAGGAGATTCATTCTGCTACCTGTCATCAACCTGCCTGACAGAGCACAAGAGGATTAAAATGTGTTAAGTACCACTTAAACTTTCTATAAGAGAAATGCTCACAATTCCTGAAGGCTACATGCAGCGACTACCAATTCCAGACCTGCAGGGCCACAGGTCCAGCTTGTGGCAAAACAGTAATGGAGAAGAAAATACCCTACAGATACTCAGAAAAGTTATTTTATTAGAATAACCCATATTCCAATACTAGGTACTGATATAAGTTTCCTAGGCACTCCAGAGTTGCAGCCAAAATGAAATTTTCTGTGCAAAAATTACTTTCACCAACAACTTTTGCACAGATCGTGTGACAAAAGCTATATAGACATATACACAGCACATTCATGAAACAGAAGCCAATTACACGTTCATTATGATTACTACAGTACTCCACTTTCTCTGCAGTGTCTTAATTTTCAAAGAGGTATCCATGCCAGTCTGCAGCAGCAGCAGCAGCTATCAAACAGAATCGTGCGGTGTTTTGAAGCTCACACCAAATTTATTATGGCATAATAAAACTGTCGTGGACTACAGCCCATAATTCATCAGCCAAAGCATTACCGAGATTTTCAGATATCAACACACACACACTTGTATATACATACAAACCATATATATGGTTTGGGAGAAGATTTAAGTTGAGACTAAGGACAGTGAGGCCAGAGGAAAATTAAATCCAAGCTAGACAGCGCAGAAAACCAGTCTGATGTATGGACCATGATCCATTTATTTATCCTTGCAAAAGCCCTGTACAGTCAATCACTATGAATACTCCAGATATGAAGTCATGCGGTGGGAAACAAGGCCACTTCGTCCGCCCAGGGCACGACTTGGGCAGAAACTAGCTGCTCTGTCAAAGGGGCTGTGCTTCCTTCAGAAACGAAGGGACGGCCACCTGGCGAAAAGGGGCGGCGGCGGCGGCGGCCGCCTGGCGAAAGGGAGCCCGCTTTAGGGCCGGAAGCGAAGAGGCAGCGAAGAAAGCCTCGCCCGGCGCAGGCAGGCGGGCACAGCGGTCGGCGAAGGCGGAAACTCAGCAAGAAGCTGAAATCTTAGGGCCGGGGAGAAGTCTAGAAATTACCCCCCCCTAAAAAAGGGGGCGGGATGGGGGAGGAAAAGGGGGACCGCTGCGCCTGACAGGGAAGGATGGCGACCGCTCGACCGCACGACAGGAGGGGAGAAAGCGAGGAGAAGGCCCTGCGTCCCCAGCCTTCCTGCTCGCCCGCCCGCCCGCAACGCTTCCTTCTCGGGCGAGGGGAGCGAATGCAAAGTCGAGTCCCGCCCCCGCGCCGGGCGCCTTACCTGCGGTCCTCGGCGGCCCAGACGCAGCGAACTCAACGCGTCGCCGCCGACGCCGTCCTCCTCCCTTTCTCTCCGTCTCACCCGCCCCCCCCGTTCAGCGCCTGCGCGCTTTGGAGCCACCTCGCCGAACCGACGCGGGGGACGGCCGAGGAGGGAAAGAGTCGGCTTGACCCTGGGCCGGCTTCGAGGGCCGCAGCTGCAGCAATTCAGCCACCACCGCCGCGGGCCCTGCTGCTGCTGTTGTTGCTGAGCCGGCAAGGCGAGGGAAAGCTCGCTCGCCCGCCCGCCCTCTAGCGCTGGAGGACTCTCGGCTGGTGGGGGGTTTGTGTCTTCGAGTGGGCAGGACGGAGGCAGCCTCTTAAGCTCACAACACGAGAAAAAAAAATACTGATAATCCTCCCGGAGGCGGCGCGTCTCTGTGAGGCGAACTGATGGGGGGACTCGTCCGGGGTGTGAAATAACGAGGAAAGAGAGATGGTTTCTGACCACGTGCAGAGTGCCATTTTTTTCTACCTCCCTTGGCGGCCCGGGGCTGCCACTTGCCCATGAAGGAGAGTGCCTTCCTGGCCATTCCGCAGCGCCCTTTCAGGCTGTCTTTACTTCCCCTCTCCGTTAAAAAAAGAGGAATAAATGAGAAATATGTTTCTGTTTTCGTTTTTAAAACGTATGAAAGTAAAACCTTAACAAGCATAGTATGCGTGTCTCTCTCTACAAGATCAACAAAAAAAAATCAGAGAGGGCCTTCTGAGATGACATTGAAGGATTTCTTAAGTACATATTTGTACATCTTGAATATTGCAGAAGATAAGCCTCAAGTTAAATACGTATTAGTTTGGCAAGTGGATTTTTAGGACCTGGAGAGTTTGTTGTAGTTGTGCAAACAACAGAAAACCTGATCTCTTTTTCTGTTGGCATAAGGAAGGAGGGAAAGTTAGGTACTGTACTTCATGCATTGCGCTTCTTCAGGTTAACTCCCGGTAAAGCCCCACTTAGATCAATAGGCCCACTCAGCAGAAGAGCCAAAACTCTGACTCATGGCCACCTTGAATAAAGGTGTCAAAATGTGCTAAGATGTTTAAGGAGTGGTTTTAACACACAGAGAGAGGGAGCTTCAGATGGGTCTTGGCTAGTTGGGATGACATTAAATCCTTAGCTCAAAGTTTAGTTATGTTTTTAAGGTGGGAAAAAAGATGAAAATGTTACATTAAATCCTTAGCTCAAGGTTTAGTTATGTTTTTAAGGTGGAAAAAAAAGATGAAAATGGGGTATTTATTTATTTACTTATTTATTTATTTATTTATTTATATCCCTCCTATCTGGGATTACGACCACTCTAGGTGGTTTACCAGTGAGTAAACCCAATGGAGCTTACTTTTGAGGAGACATGCATTGGATTGTAGTCAAAAGAGTATCATGTTTCATGTCATTTCCCCAAACCTACCTCTCACTAGGTTAGGGCTGAGTGTGTCCCTCCAGTTGGACTGGCTCACATCATTCTTCACCCGTGTTTATGCTGGCCATGGCTAATGGAATTAGATTTGAAAACATATTGAGGACCAAATTTTCTCCATCCTTGCACCAAAAGAAGCTGGCCAAGTCTATGTCAAATTGCTACAGCAGAACATCTCTTGGGATCCTCTAGCACTGGGTAATTCTACATAAGGGAAGTCTCTCTTGGAATTAGTGTGTACTGTATGTATACTTAAATCTTTGTTTTTAAAAGCCAGAAATTTGATTCTTCAGAGAGAAAAACTCTGGTTTATAAATGTGGGATATTGTGCTTCTGTACCCATGATTTAAAATACCAGGATATGGCCCGGTACTGCTGTACAAAATCATGCCCATATTGCCAGCAGGAAAAGGGTGCCAAGCTTTACGTAGCAAAGGGCAGTCTGAATGCTGACAACACCAATGGCAGCAGTCAAGATAGTCTATAGCAGCTATGGCGAACCTATGGCACGTGTGCCACAGCTGGCATGCACAGCCCTCTCTGTGGGCATGCAAGCCATAAGTAGCTGAATTGCCCCCCCCCTCCCGCCGGCAGTTGAATCTCGGAAACTGTCTAGACTGAGGCTGTATTAACCAAGAAATCCCGGATTCCAGCGCTCCCCTCTGCTGGTGCAGTGGTCCAGCGAAGGGGTGCAATGGCAGCCATTACTGGTCTAGCGTGACTGGGGGATTGGAGGACAGTAAATATTTATTAGTACTGCCCCTAAAAAAAACCACAAGCATTTAACCCTTGCAGTATTTCTCTATTAGTACTGCCCCTAAAAAAAAAAAACACAAGCATTTAACTCTTGCAGTGAAGGGCAGCCCCACTGCAAGGGTTCAAAAAAGTTAAGCCCAGAGTTCAGCTTTAAAGTTTTGTGAGGGTGACACCATTAGTTACCGCACTCGGTGGCACTGGGTGACACCAACACTAGTGATGCCTTTGCCTGCAAAACCAACCAAGTAGGTTTTGTGTTGCAGTTTGGGCACTCAGGCTCAAAAAGGTTCACCATCACTGGTCTATAGGATACCTTCTTGTGCTGACTATCATTCGCACTTTTTTTGCAAACAGCCATGACATTTGCTTTGTATTTGGGTAAGATGTGGCTAACTGATGAAGAAAAGAGCCAGTTTGGGGGATTTTGTCTTGCTTGATGTCACTTTGTGATTGATAGTTTAAATAAGCAATCAGTGTAAAGAAGCCACAGATCTCCCAAGTTCTTTTATCTAGAAGAAAACAAACCTGGCCTGGTAGTACTGTTTTGTTTAGAAAAGCTGAGAGGGTGTAACCGTGTATTGTATGTGCAATAATGAATCACGACTGATAGGCACAACAAGAAAATCCATAGCCCTATATAATCTTCTAAGAATGTGACCTTCCCCCAACTCCACTTTTTTGGGGGAAAACATTTTAAAAAGTACTTGCCAAGTAACATTTGTCTAATTCCAGACTTGGTGGAGAGAGAGAGTGTGTGTATAAACTTATGTAACAATTTGAAAATGTGTCTTAAGAAAGAATATGGACTCATGCTCAGCAATCTCTTTGACTAAGTAAGAGTGATGCATTTTGCAACTCCCAGTATTGTTTTAAAGTGGCTCCAGTCCTTCCTGGAAGGTGGTTCTGGGGGATTCATGTTCGACACCCTGGCTGCAGACCTGTGGGGTCCCTCATGATTCTGTTTTGGCTCCTATATTATTTAACATCTACATGAAACCTCTGGGAAAGATTATCTGGAGTTTTGGAGTTTGGTGTCACCAGTATGCGGATGACACCCAACTCTACCTCTCCTTGCCACCTAAATTTGAGGAAACTGCTTTTGCTCTAGATCAGTGTTTGGTATCAGTAATGGACTGGATGAGAGTAAATAAACTGATACTTAATGCAGACAAGACAGGTGCTCCGGGTCAGTTGAAAGGCAGATCAAGAAATAGGGATGCAGCCCCTACACTCCCATTGAAAAAACAGGTGTGCAGCTTGGGGGTGTTTCTCTGAGCCTGGATGCCCAGGTCTCAGCAGTAGCCAGGAGTGCATTTGCACAATTAAAGCTAGTGCACCAGGTATATCCATTTCTTGAGAGATCTGATCACTGTGACATGTGCCCTAGTTACTTCCTGGCTGGATGACTGTAATGTGGTCTATGTGGGGCTGCCAATGGAAAGTGTCAGGAAACTTCAGTGGGTCCAAAATGCAGCAACTCAGATTGCTAACTGAGGCTGGTTACAAGGATCACGTAACCCCCCTCCTCCTGCTATTTATAGCAGCTCCACTGGCTACTGATCCGTTTCAAGGCACAATTTGAAGTGCAGGTTTTAACCTATAAATCCCTAAATACCATGGATCCAAGCTATCTCAAAGAATGTATCTCCCATTATGAGCCAGCTCAGGTGTTGAGATCATCAGGAGAAGCCCTTCTCTTCGTCCTGCCACCTTTACAGGTGTGACTCATGGAGACACAGGAGAGAGACTTCTCTGTTGCTGCTCCCAGACTGTGGAACTCCCTTCCACAGGAGCCCAGACTGGCCCTGTCTTTGCTGTCCTTCCAAAAGCAGGCGTTCTCTTCGGGCAAACCCCTCTCTCAGTAATTAGATATCTTTGTGTGATTTTCAGATGGATTGTTATCCATTACTGCTTTGACTCCCCTCTCTCAGTAATTAGCTATCTTTGTGTGATTTTTAGATGGATTGTTATCAATTACTGCTTTGACTGGATTTCTAGTACTTTTTGTGTTTTCCATTTTTTAATTTTTCATTTCTCAGAGTGGCATTTTTAAGTGTTTATATACTTAGTGTTCTTAGCTTTAATGTTGCCTTTTAATGATGTAAGATTCCTCTTTACTCATTGTTCTTAGCTTTAAATATATTTCAATGATGTTAACCACCATTACAGTATATACTCATTGTTTTCAACTTCAAATATTGCCTTTCAAGGTTGTAAACTGCCTTGGGTCCTTTTCAAGGAGAAAGGTGGGGTAAAATATTTTAATTAACTAAATGACTAACTAACTAAATAATTATTTAAATAACTAAATAACTAAATAACATGTTTCCCTGAAAAGAAGACAGGGTCTTATCTTACTTTTTCCTCCAAAATTGCATTAGGGCTAATTTTCAGGGGATGTTTTAATTTTTTCATGTACAACATTCTACATTTATTCAAATACAGTCATGTTATCTTCTTCTGGTTGCTGCACAATGGTGGAGGGCGAGGATTTATTTAACTGGGGCTTATTAGGGGGGTAGGATTTATATTATGAGCATCCTGAAAAATCATTGTTGTTGTTTAGTTGTTTAGTCGTGTCTGACTCTTCGTGACCCCATGGACCAGAGCATGCCAGGCCCTCCTATCTTCCACTGCCACCCAGAGTTGGGTCAAATTCATGTTGGTCGTTTTGATCGCACTGTCTAACCATCTCATCCTCTATCGTCCCCTTCTCCTCTTG